TAGTACTAACGAGAGGCCTTGGGCAAATAGTTAAACCTCTCTGCTATCAGCTTTCTCATCTGCTAAGGGAAATAGTAACTCCTTGCTCAGAAAATGTGGTATAAATTAATAAGAATTCAGAAAATTTTGAACTATATGCAAAATCAACCTAAATGTTTTAATGTTATGTTTAATGATACATGTTTTTAAAAATGGGAAACAAATATATATTAAAGCCCTACTATAACACGCACTTTTCATGTTTTTAAAAACATTTTTTTAAGTAATCTCTGCACCCAACATGGGGCTTGAATTCATGATGCCAAGGTCAAGGGTCACATGCTCCATCAACTGAGACAGCCAGGTGCCCTGCACTTGGCATGTTTGATCTTATTTAATTTTGATTAATCCAAATATAAACATGCTATATAAAAAGACCGAATAGTGCAGCTCTTCCTGCCTATTGGTCTTGTCCCTGTGCTAATTTAATAAAAACACCTTTTTCGGGGCCATTGGGTGGCTCAGTGAGTTGAGCGTCCAACTCTTGATTTTGGCTCAGGTCCTGATCCCAGGGTCATGAGATGGAGCCCCAAGTTGGATGCTGCGCTGAGTGTGAGCCTGCTTAAGATTCTCTCTCTCTCTCTCTCTCTCAAATAAAAAAGTTAAAAAAAAACCTTTTTGCACTAAAAAAAATTAAAAACTAAAAATTAAGACCAGAAAGAAGTAACAGAGGAAATGTCTCATTTAATGTTCTTCATGTGATCCTGAACACTTCATTTTATTTAATCATTGAAATGCTCAAAATCTTTCTAAAAGGATTTACATCTGACTGTAATCTGGACCTTTGATATTCATTTTAGAGAAAGTAAACACCCACTTAGTAACATTTTCAGATATGACGACCTTGTGGAAGTTTGTTCCTCAAAACCAAACAAAACAAGCTAGGGGTTCTTTTCTAAAGACATGTTAACCAGTCTAGCTACGTACACATCTCCCTAGTATCACTTTGTACAACTCGTATTCCTTTCTGTGATTCTGTTGGGTTTTGCCCTGTTCCTTTGTAACACCGTGCTTCCTAGTAAAAGCTCCTTCCTCAGCCTCAGGGCCTTTTCCCCTGCCTTTTCGGACAAGGAGTGGCCCACCCGCCCCAGCCTCTACCTTCCAAAACCACCCTTTTCCTTTCTCAGGGTTTAGACACAGTGCTTTATTTTTAAAGAACATCCTTCTCCAACACAGACTTGGGAGGGAAACTACTCCAAATTGGGAAGAGGGTTTTCATCAAAGAAAGATCTAAAAAGCATTGTCTTAAAGGTTTTATTTTTAAGTAATCTGTATGCACAACATGGGGCTTGAATTTACAACTCCGAGATCAAAAGTCACATGCTCAAGGGACGCCTGGGTGGCTCAGTTGGTTGAGCATCTGACTTCAGCTCAGGTCATGATCTTACTGTTGGTGGGTTTGAGCCCCTCATCGGGCCTTGTGCTGACAGCTCAGAGCCTGGAGCCTGTTTCTGATTCTGTGTCTCCCTCTCTCTCTGCCCCTCTCCCACTCCCGCTCTGTCTCTCTCTCTCAGAAATAATAAACATTAGAAAAAAATTTTTTTAAGTCACATGCTCTATAGACTGAGCCAGCCAGGCACCCCTAAAAGACATTGTTTCAATTCTGCATACTTTTGAGTACAAATGTGTACTTTTGTTCCAGAATGGATATTTTTGAGCAAAAACACCAAACCTTGGGCACCTGGGTGGCACAGTCAGTTAAGCATCTGACTCTTGGTTTCAGCTCAGGTCATGATCTCACAGTTCGTGTGATAGAGCCCTATGTCGAGCTCTTCTCTCTCTCTTCCCCCACCCCCCCATAAAATTAAATAAATAAATTTAAAAATACTAAACCTCTTCTCCCTGCTGCTTCTGAACCTCTGTCTTCCTTGTCCAACACCCTTTCACCATTTGGCCTTGCTCCCAGACAAGGGCACCCTCCCAGACAGGGCAGTTTTAGAGGTGGGAAATCAGGCATGCTGAGGGTAGACTATTTGAGTTCAGCCTTACACATTGTACAGTGTGGTGCGAAATATACTGGCCTGGACACCAAGTGATCCAGCTTCTAATTCCAGCCCCATTGGGGGCCTCCGGCACATCATGTGTTTATCCAGGGCTTTAGTGGCCCTGTGTGGAGAACATGGACCAGAAGTGCTGTCGGGTTCTTGCTATCCCTGCTCCTCAGATGAGGACACTAAGGCATGGAGATGGGAAGGCATCGTGATAGATTCTTCTGCGGGTGTCAGAAAAGAGTAGACACTGAGGATTAATTCATTGTTTGATTTCTCTTGGCAAAACAGTGTAAGGAAGAAAAATAGCATCATAGGACAAATGAGGCTTTTCTTCTCATGAAACCAAGTACAGATGCTTTCTGATTTACAGTGGTTTGACTTAAAGTTTTCTTTTTTTTTTCTTTTAGTTTTTTTTAATGTTTTATTTTTGAGAGAGAGAGAGAGACAGAGACAGAGTGTGAGCAGAGAAGGGTCAGAGAGAGAGGGAGACACAGAATCTGAAGCAGATTCCAGGTTCTGAGCTGTCAGCACAGAGCCCAACATGGGGCTTGAACCCACAAACTGTGAGATCATGACCTGAGCCGAAGGCGGACACTCAACCAACTAAGCCACCCAAGCGCCTCTCAACTTAAAATTTTCAACTTGACGCTGGTGTGAAAGCTATACTCATCCAGTAGAATCTATACTTTGAATTTTAAATTTGGGTCTTTTCCTGGGTCAGCGATACATGGTATGATCCTCTCTCAAGATGGCGAGCAGAGGCAATCACGGCTCCAACCAGCACACGGTCACGAGTGTGAGCAATCAACATACTTAAAACCCTCTGTACCCACACAATCGTTCTGTTTTAACTTTCAGAACAGTATTCAATAAATTACACAGATACTCAACATTTTGGATAAAAGTCTCTATGTTTGATAATTTTGCCCAATTAGAGGCTAGACTAAGCTATGATGTGTGGCAGGTTAGTGTGTTCAAAATGTTTTCAACTTACAATATTTCCAATGTATGAGGGTTTATTGGGACATAACACCATTGTAAGTGGAGGAAGATCTGAAATGGAAATTTCAGACATTTCTTGGAAATGCTAGTAAATAGATTTCTTGAGTCATTTTCAAGATGGTTATATCTCTTGGACCTGGGATTAATGGGTCATTTCTATTTCCTTTTTATCTTTTTATGTGTTCTCTGAATCTTTTACTAATACATATTAGTTCTGCAATCAGAATGGGTACTTTAGGAGAAAAAAAAGAAGAAAATGGCTTTAACCGTACAAATGGAAGAGAACAGGAAAAAAACTTAAAAACTAATAATGATGAAACTGACATTTATTACATGTCATTTATTATGTATTGGACAGTAACTGGCTCATTTACTTCCTCTCAACTCTGGATAAGAAGCTATTTATTATTACTTCCATTTTGCATATAAGAAAAATGAAGCAGAGAGGGGTCAAATAACTTCAGAAGTCACAGAGCTAGTAAATTCAATTGCTGGGACTTCACTTAGGTAGTCTAACATCAGGGCCCTTCTATTTATCACCTGCCTCATAAATGATCTAAAAATGAGGTATAATCTTATATAACTTCAGAGAACAGATTTTTCATACTAATTACATTTTATTTAGGTTAATATTCCCTGAACACACATTAACAAAACGCTGGAAGAAAGTGGTTTGAAACTATGGTAGATCTGTGATTTAATTTAACTCCGTGTAGACCAATGGTCGTCTATACAATTAACTCTAGCACAGAGTTGGCTTATCCACTCTGGTTTATCCACTCTGGTTTATGCCAAATCTGTGCTACAGTTGACAACATAGACAACCATTGGTCTATGCTGTGTTAAATTAAACAAGGAGACTATTAGACCTAGGTGGTTCTAATGTCTTTTAGGCCTAAGTAAACCCATAAATATCTCAAGGCTTAGAAATCAAACTTGAGGACAACCAATCACAAACAGCCAATGAGTCTTTGTGAATAAGACAAATGCTTAAGCTACAGCTAATCACATGATTTCCTTGCTTTGTTTCCACCTTTCCTTTGTAAGTCTTCGTAACCTCTGCTCCTAACCACTTCTGATTTGGCAGTGCCTTAATCCCACTGATTTTTGCTCAAATAAACTCTGAAAAATTGTGATATGCCTCAGTTTGTCTTTTAACGGCTCTGATATCTGGCTTGTTTTACGTAGGTACCTCAAAGAAAGTTGAAAGAAGGTGATTCAAATTGCCAGGAAGAGTTTGGGAACATCCACACTGCCAATCAGTTTTTTAAAACAAAATTTTTAAAAGGGCATAATCTATCCACGCAACAAGACTACGTCAGCACCACAAATAATCAAGGACAAATCACACACAACGAAGGAAGTGCTCATCACTGCTACCCGTTTTGTGCACACAAGACAGTCCCTATCTCTCAACTAGGAACGTCAGCTACTTTAGGCTTTTGAATGTTGGTCTTTCTCCTGTTGTCTTCTACCTACTGACTTTTCAATCAGCTCTCCTCCTGTGGCCGGATCCATTTCATGGCATATCACTCCCACCTCAGAAGACTGGGTCACAGAAGTGATTTCAGGACTCATAAGTGAGCAAAGGCCTCAAGCTCAAATATTAGCTGAATGACTGAATAATTACTATAGGTATGGTCCTCTGGACAAGCAATCTGCCTAATATCTCAGGGAAGGAAAGGCCATAGAACTGCAAGCTGTAAGAGAGATTACCTACACTAACCAAATCAGGTTCTGACTGAGGAGGGTAAGGGAGTTCAGCAAAGCGAAAGAGACCAACTACCTCCATTTTGACCTCCATCTGTACTTGGTAAGTGATTAAGTTCTTCTTTCCAGCTTGACTCTTAACTCTGGGAAAAGACCCTGCAGGCAAAGCATTTTCTAATGAGAACTGAAACTATCCCCTCAAGCAATAAGGACCACCCTGAGCCAGCAAGACTTGGCCCGTGACAGTGATCAACCAGACCTTTACTGCCCACCCATGCATGTACCCACTGACTTTTTTCCCACATTTTCCTCATATAAACCTGGGAGTATTTTCAGCACTTTGGAGACAGTCTTTGAGATCTTTGAGATCTTTGAGAGTCTTTGAGAAATAAATTCCTGTCTTGTTTCACTACCACTCATTTCTCTGCCTTTGGATTTTGTCAGCAGTGACTGGCCGAACCTGGTCTGTTTAAGACCCCCAGAGCTAGGTGCTCTTGCACCCCTGTACCCCGGCTACACTGATGGGTCATTTCTGGACAGTCATTGCCGCATGAGATTGGGGCTCTCTTTCTTATCTTGTCAGAGGGCCAGAAGTTTTCCAAGATGGAAGAAGACCCCTCCCCTCCCATTGTTTTCCTCCTCAGCCCTCACTTTCTGGTATACGGTGCGTGTTGTAAGTGCATAGTGGCGGATCTCTGTGTTTTTCCTTTCCAGGTGGCCTAAGTGGCAAAGAAGGTGGGAACCAATTCCTTCTAGGGAAAAGACCTGTCCATCCTGTTCTCTTTTCCTCTGGTATCTCTTCAACTTCCTGTCTTCCATGTGACCAATTTGGTAGTAATATTTGGGTTTAGCGTTAAGGAGAAGTAAGGGTCATCCTTGCCAGAGCTCCCTGCCTCAGGGTTTCGCACACAAGCCCAGCAACAATAAATTAATGCAGCCCGGATTGAAATCTTATCACACTGTATCTCAGAGGTGCAAAGAAAATGTTGGAGATGGAACTTTAAAATCACCAATTAAAGTATTTTACTTTTCTAATTTAACATAGTCTCCTTCCAGGTAATAACTCCCAGTAAGAGCTGTTTCTCTCCTTTTTTCTTTTGCTCCTCAAGTAGGTGTCTGGAGGGCGGTGCTTGGGTGACCTCATGCTTCCAGAGCCTTGCTCTTTGGATATCACCAGCCTGCGCCGCAAGAGTGCTAGTCCGGTCTTGTCCCTGGGCTGCCAGTCAGAAGGGCTGCTCTCCTGGCTCCCAGCTCTCACGGCTGGCAGGAACTTTTCCTGCATCATCTCCCTCCTTCCCAAAATGAAATTTGTCAACACCTACGTCCCAGAGCCCTACTAGCAGAATGGCCACTGGGAAACATAATTTATGGGAGAGACGAAAACACATATATGCACCCCCAACATACCCTTTGTCACTTTATGTTGCCTCATCATTGTCTGTTGTCTGATTATCACTCTGGGAACCCTGAGGGGGAAAGAGTCTGGAATTGGGGGTTATCCCAAATACTTCATAAGGTCAAGCTCTTAACAGGTAATTTCTAGTATTACTTCTACATATGGCATTCTTTCTCATTATACTCTTATTCTCTCCTCATGTACCCCAGGAAAACGTTCAGGGATTTTCTGTTTTGCTTGCTGCTATAACCCCAATGTCTAAGTAGTACATGGCACAGAGTAGGTGTTCAATAAATATTTGTGGGATGAGTGAAGGGTTGATCACATCTGCTGTGGTGGATTTATCCAGGTCAGCTCTCAGAGGGGGATCTTATTTCCCTTACCTCCAGGTGGTCGCAGAGCAGCACACGGAAGCTGATGTGTTGTCCACAGCGCGTGCCAGCTCAGAGGTAGTAGCTGAAGCAGTGGGGCTTGGTGAGGTCCCTCAGGAAGAGCAAGAGGGAGGACAAATGGGGCCAAGAGTAGCCCAAAAGGAGCAGTTCTCAAACTTTTAAATCTCAGAGCCCCTTTATAGTTTTAAAAATTGTTGAGGGCTCCCAGAAGCTCTCATGGGTTGTATCAATATTTATTGTATTAAAATTGAAACAAAACTTTTAAATATTTATTAATTTGTTTAACAAAAAAACCCACATTACGTGTTAGGATAAATAACATTTTCATTTACAACATAACTATCTTTGGGGCACCTGGGTGGCTCAGTCAGTTGAGCATCCAACTCTTAATTTCGACTCAGGTCATGATTTCAGCATCATGTTATGGAGTCCTATGTAGGGCTCCATGCTTAATATTCTCTCTCTCCTCTGCCCCTCTCCCCTACTCATGAGTGCTCTCTAAAACCAAACAAAACAAAACAAAACAAATGAAATGAAATAAAATAAAATAAAATAAAATAAAATAAAATAAAATAAAATAAAATAAAACAAAATAAAATAAAGCTATCCTTTCCTAAACAAAAGTCACTGAGAGGAGGGGCAGTTCTTTTTTGGCAAATTGCCTATGTCTGGCTTCACTTGATCTTAGCCAAAAGGCCGAGAAGCGATGCCTATGTCTGGCTTGATAGAAGGCAGCTGGGTTTCATGTCTGCCTCTGTATTCAATCTGCTGTGATATGTTTTAGTTGAAATTTGGCCTCATACAGACACACAGTGGGAAAAGGAAGGATCTTGGGGACTGCAGGGGTTCTCTGACCACATTCTGAAAACTGCTGTCCTAAAACGAAAGGTGCTGTAGCAATAATGATGATCTCCGCCACAGAGCCTCCAGCCCTCCAGGGAGTCCAGACCCTGCTATTAGAACAGAATCCCTGTTTCTCACCCTCCTCCCACCAGCCTCTCTGCTTAGGATTGCACAATTCTTTAATAATGTATAAAATGGCTGACAGCCTTGAGCAGCAAAATTAGATAAGATGTAAGTTCTTGGAGTATGCTGGTCTTGGGTAGAAGGAAGCATAACAGGCATCTCAGAAAGGGGATGAAGGAAAGAACACATGCATTCTTAGTAAGGAGAGGAAAGAGGTTATGAAGTTCAGGCGCATTTGCAAGCAAGTATGTTTCATATTTGCACCCAGTGCCTGGGCTGAAAAAAGGAAACAAACAATAAAGCTCAGCCTGCTGGGTGTGTGTGGAAGGAGCTGGTTCTCAGAGGGGAGGAGCTGGCCTACGCAATTACATTCTACTTCAGTATCTTCTCAGGACTTGCTGGAGGGCCACAGCTTTATCCCCATTGGTTGAGGATCTCATGGAAAGATAGTCGACTCTACCAGGTACAGTTCTAAGACCAGTCAATTCTCAACACGGTGGAGTGGCCTTGCTACCACTGGTGGGAAGGCTTCAAGTAACACTTTCTGTTTATAAACCCTTCCTCCCAGGCTAATACCAGCAACCACCACCTTCACTGTGTATCTTGCTTACCTGCTTTACAGAGGGAAGGCACAGCCAACAGCTGTCATTCGCCCTCGCAGCCTCCAAATACCGCAAGTGGCCCAGCTCTACCTGGAAGGATGTATGTATGAATGTGAGTGACTCTGTACTACTGTGGCTAGAGGCAAAAGCCACACCCTGGAGCCTTTTAATAAACAGATGACAGGTCCAAACTTTGTCATTTGTTTTTTTATTTTTTATTTTTTTTAATGTTTATTTTTCAGAGAGAGAGAGAGAGAGAGAGAGCAGGGGAGGGGCAGAGAGAGAATCTCAAGCAGATTCTCTGATGTGGGGCTTGAACTCACAAACTGTGAGATCATGACCTGAGCCGAGATCAAGAGTCGGACACTTACCCAACTAAGCCACGCAGGCACCCCATCTTTTGTTTTTTTAGAGAGAGAACGAGCAAAGGGGGAGGCAGAGGGAGAGAGAGAGAGAATGAGAGACTCTCAAGCAGGCTCCATGCTCAGCACAGAGCCCAACGCAGGGCCCAGTCCTACAATCCTGGGATCGTGACCCGAACTGAAATCAAGAGTTGGATGCCCTACTGACAGAGCCACCCAAGTCCAAACTTTGTATCTGGAAATTTTCAAGGATTTTTCTTAAATACTATGAAATAAACTTACCATCTGTGCTGCACTTACTTCTATCCTGACTTGTGACATCTTTTGCATTATTGCTCTATGTGGCTGTTTAGGTGGCCCGGGAGCATGACTGGCCTGTTGCACAGTAATCCCCAAATCTCATACAGTCTTTGGTACACAGAAAGCACTTAAAAGTTTTTAGTTAATGAAAGGTAAGTACATTAATTCTGAAGATCTTACTATAATGTGTACCACACATTATGCCATTTAATTAAGATTATCTTGTAAAGCTTATCTTCTTAAGAAGGTATAAGTTCTTTGAAAGCAGGAAATGTATATTTGTGAGGGTTTTGTTTGTTTGTTTTTTTTTTTTTTTGGAAGGGGGGGCAGGCAGGGTGTGGAGGGACACAGTGAGTGTGGAGCCTGACATAGGCTTGATATGGGACTCGATCCCACAATCCTGGGATCATGACCTGAGCCGAAATCAAGAGTCAGACACTCAACCAACTGAATCACCCAGGCGCCCCTGTTTGTGAGGTTTTTTAGACGTTTTGCATAGCAACCTATATCTACCTATCTTAGGGGAATGTTCCCCAGATCCTTCTAAAAGGCACATCTTCTTTTATACAATGTTAAAAGCTATATTTATGTATCATTTTGCTACAGAGTAGGACCTGCTTATTTTTTTTCTCAGTCTCACTAATGGTTTTAGATAGAGAACATTATTAGTTTATGTTCCAATAATATTCCTTGTTACTCAGAAAAAAATGTCAGCTAAAGGGCTTGTTTTACTATCCCTTATGTAACGAAATCAGACTAAACATGAAAGCATATGTTTAACATACCAGCTCTGCTTTTATCTGTTTAAAATGGAAAAGCTTCCATAGTTTTTTTGTTTTTGTTTTTGTTTTTTTTTTATCTAAAGTGGGATAGCAGTTCCTGGGAAGGAATATACAATATTTCGATGAAAAGATTGACAGACATTAAAAAACCAATATGAATAAATTAATAGACCAGAGAAATTTCCCACGTGGAAAGAGATTTCTGTGTCTCTCCAAAAACTCACTCTACCTATTAGCTCAATGAATAAGTATTAACAAGGATTGGGATTTTTGTTATTGATGTTGTTTTATAATGCAACAGTTTTACTGAGATAAATTCGCATACCATAAAATTCACACTTTCAAAGTTTACAATTCAATGGATTTAAGCACATTTATAAAATTGTGCAACCATCACTACTATGTAATTTTAAAACATTTTTATTAAAACAAAAATTTTAGTGGCCTGGGTGACTCAGTCAGTTGAGCATCCAACTCTTGATTTCAGCTCAGGTCATGATCTCACAATTCATGAGATTGAGCCCTACATCAGGCTCCATGCTGAGCACAGAACCTGCTTG